ATTTTTTTTTTGAGACCATACTTTCTTCTATCTGCTTTGTGGACTCTTCTTTCTTTTCTCTTTCTTTCTTTCTCTTTCTTTCTTTCTTTTCTTCTTTCTTTCTTTTTTTTTTAGTAGAGACAGGGTTTCGCCATGTTGGCCAGGCTGCTCTTGAAACTCCTGCCCTCAAGTGATCTGCCTGCTTCAGCCTGCCAAAATGCTGGGATTACAGGCATGAGCCACTGCACTCGGCCTCTCTTCCCATTTCTTAAATGTCTGTCATGCATTTTTTCCCATTGTATATATCCTCCCTGGGCATGATAATGACTATCTCTACCTTTAGTCCAGACTTCTCTTACTGAGCTGCCTTACTGGTCCTTTCCACTTGGATGTCTTAGAGATACTAAAAAACCCCAAACTGAGTTCCTCATTCTTTCCTGATCCCTGACCACCCCTCCCTCCATTCTGTTCCTCTTATATCTGATATACATCCATAACTTGGAGAACAGTAACACCTATTTATCTCTCTAGCACCCAAGCCAGAGAACTGAGAATCATTCTTGACTCTTCCCTTTCCCTCAGTGCTCACATCCAATGAGACACCAAATTCTGTAGATTTTGATTTTGCTTTTTTTTTTTTTTTTTTAATTGAGATGGAGTCTCGCTCTGTTGCCCAGGCTGGAGTGCAGTGGCGTGATATCAGTTCACTGCAACCTCCGCCTCCTGGGTTCAGGCGATTCCCCTGCCTCAGCCTCCCTAGTAGCTGGGATTACAGGCACGCACCACCATGCCCAGCTAATTTTTTTGTATTTTTAGTAGAGACGGGGTTTCACCATGTTGACCAGGATGGTCTCGATCTCTTGACCTCGTGATCCACCCGCCTCGGCCTCCCAAAGTGCTGGGATTACAGGCATGAGCCACTGCGCCCGGCCTCTTCTTTTTTAGACAGAGTCTCACTCTGTTGCCCAGGCTGGAGTGCAGTGGTGTGATCTCGGCTTGCTGCAAACTCTGCCTCCCAGGTTCAAGCAATTCTCTGCTTCAGACTCCCCAGTACCTTGGATTACTGGCACCCATCACCATGCTGGGCTAATTTTTGTGTTTTCAGTAGAGACAGGGGTTTCACCATCTTGGTCAGGCTGGTCTTGAACTCCCGACCTTGTGATCCACCCACCTTGGTCTCCCAAAGTGCTGAGATTACAGGCGTGAGTCACTGCGCCCTGCCCAGATTTTGCTTTCTTTCTTTCTTTTTTTTTTTTTTTTTAATAAGATGGGGTTTCACCATTATGGCCAGGCTGGTCTTGAACTCCTGACCTCAGGTGATCCACCCACCTCGGCCTCCCAAAGTGCTAGGATTACAGGCGTGAGCCACCACGCCCGGCCCCCAGATTTTGCTTTCAAAGCATTCCTCGATTCTGTCCCCTTCCCCTGATCCTGACTGTCATTATGCTAGTCCACATCTCTTACCTGATCTCTTTGTGTCTAGGCACACTTCCCCCAATTCATCCTCCACAGTATTTCCAGAGGGACCATCTTTTCTCTTTTTTTTTTTTTTTTTCCAGACAGAGTCTTGGTCTGCCACCCAGGCTGAAGTGCAATGGCACAATCACAGCTCACCAAAGCCTTGAACAACTCTCTGAAGCCTTGAACTGCTGGGCTCAGGCAAACTTCCTATCTCAGCCTCCCAAATAGCTGGCACTGCAGCCATGCACCACCACGCCCAGCAAAATTTTAAAAAAACTTTTGTAGAGAGAGGGTCTCACTATCTTGTTTAGGTTGGTTTGCATTCCTAGGCTTGATCCATCCTCCTGCCTTGGCCTCCCAAAGTGTTGGGATTATAGGTGTGAGCCACTGTGCCCAGACTATTTCCAGAGGGAACTTCTTTAAAAGTTCCTCTTGGCTTATAAGACAAAGTCCAGCTCCACATCAGAACAGATATTGTTCTCCATGATCTAATTCATATTTATCTCTGCTATTTCACGTCTCACCCCCCTCTCTTCCCTCCGTCACCCTATGCTGAACTGAAGTGGTATTTGGCTGTATTTGGTGTGTCAGGGTCTTTGCTCATCCAGCTTCCTCTGTCTACAGTGCCCTTTCCTTTTTTTATCTTGCAAACACCTGCTCTACTTTTAAGATGCCATTCCAAGTTTTCCGTCACCATCTAGGGAGATTTGACCACTCCCTCTGGTGTACCTATACTGTTCCTACTACATAATTATATCCGGCACTTATAACACTTTATTGCATTTGTGTATTTACATATCTGCTTTTCCCCTTATAAACCTCAAACTTCATGAAGACAGGACCTTTGACTAATAGACACCTATATCCAGAGTACCCAGTACAGTGCCTAGCACAAGGAGGCACTTAATAAATATTGAATTCAGATGAGAGCACCTCCTGGAAAGAAAAATAAAGAAAGAAAAGAAAAGAAACCTTTTTTTTTTTTGAGATTGAGTCTCGCTCTGTTACCAGGCTGGAGTGCAGTGGCAAGATCTTGGCTCACTGCAACCTCTGCCTCCCAGGTTCAAGCAATTCCCCTGCCTGGCTAATTTTTTGTATTTTAGTAGAGATGGGGTTTCACCATGTTGGCCAGGATAGTCTCAATCTCCTGACTTTGTGATCTGTCCGCCTTGGCCTCCCAAAGTGCTGGGATTATAGGTGTGAGCCATTGCACCCAGCCAGAAAGTATAAACATTGAATGAATGAATGGAAACAAAATGAAAACAAAGCAGTGGGCCAACCCAATAAAACACTTGATAAAATCTCATCAATTTACTGCAAAATGAGGCAGAGGTCAATCTGGATAGTGAAAAATAGGAATGACCTATTATTCTAAGGTCAATATAATTCTGTTACTTTGTAATCTTATATAGATCTCTATTTATGTACCACTAACTGTGCTGCTTTATGGTGTTTACATATCTGTTTCCCCCTTCCAGTCTGAAAGCTTCATGACCCGTCTTATTTAGCTCTGTATCATTGATGCATTACCCTTAATAGATGTACAATAAATATTTGTTGAATCAAAATAAAGGAATGAGGCCGGGTGCGATGGCTCACGCCTGTAATTCCAGCACTTTGGGAGGCCAAGACGGCTGGATCACCTGAGATCAGGAGTTCGAGACCAGCCTGGCCAACCTTACAAAACCCCATCTCTACTACAAATACAAAAAATAAAAAAGCTAACCAGGCGGTGGTGGTGTGTGCCTGAATCCCAGCTACACCAGAGGCTGAAGCAGAAGAATTGCTTGAACCTGGGAGGTGGAGATTGTAGTGAGTTGAGATTCCATCACTGCACTCAAGCCTGGGCAACAGAGTGAGACTCCGTCTGAAAAAAAGGAAATGAATAAATAACATAAAACAAAAATTAAGGAATGAAGCTAGCCAAAGTAGCTTCTTATAAAGGTCTAGGGATTTATTTCAATGAAATGAGAATTATTTTGTCTTACTATATTTTAAAGCTATATAAAGGGCTGACATTTGCATACATTTTTCTATTTGCTCAGCACAAACATTCATTTTTATAGATTCTACAAATATAAACTCCAGTTTCCTCTTTTCTGAAATATCACAGATTCCAAATTAGGGAAGTCCAAGTTAGTGAAGCTTTACCATATTGTACCTTACTTTGTTTCATTTTGCTTGGTATTCATATGCATCTGGGATTTGACAAAGCAGGCACTAGAAAATATGAATGTGCCTAACATGTACCAGCTTTTATGGACCTACTAAATTTAAAAAAAATTCTTTTTTTTTTTTTTTTTGAAACGGAGTCTTGCTCTGTCACCCAGGCTGGAGTGCAGTGACACGATCTTGGCTCACTGCAACCTCTGCCTCCCAGGTTCAAGTGATTCTCCTGCCTTAGCCTCCGGAGTACCTGGGATTACAGGCATGCCCCACCACACCCAGCTAATTATTCTACTTTTAGTAGAAACGGGGTTTCACCGTGTTGACCAGGATGTTCTCGACCTCCTGACCTCAGGTGATCCACCCCCTTCAGCCTCCTAAAGCCCTGAGATTACAGGTGTGACCCACCACACCCAGCTAAAAAAAATGCTTAATGTTATTTATGATTTATAATCATAAATGTTTTTAAACTATAAAAATCAAATTATTTGCCTTATTACCTTTGGTGCTTGTCTTAGTCCATTCAGACTATTATAATAAAATAGCATAAACTAGGTAGCTTATAAATAACAGAAATTTAGTTCTCACAGTGGAGCTCAAGATCAAGGTGGCAGCAGTTTGATGTCTATTGAGGGCCCACTTTCTGTTCACAGATAGTGCCTTCTAACTGTGTCCTCACATGGCAGAAGGGGCAAGTCAGCTTTCTGAAGCCTCTTTTATAAAGGAATTCATCTCATTTAAGAACACTCCACCTTCAGACATAATCATCTCCCAAAATCTACTAATATCATCATCTTGGGGGTTAGGATTTCAACATATGAGTTTTGTTGGGAACACAAACATTCAGACCATAGCAATGATGCTACTAAGGTTTAAATCACAGGGATCCCAGAAGATTGCTTGGTTTTTGGTTTTTTTTTTTCATTTTATTTTACTTTTTTGAGATGGAGTCTCCCTCTGTCACCCATGCTGCAGTGCAGTGGCGTAATTTCGGCTCACTGCAACCTCCACCTCCCCAGTTCAAATGATTCTTGTGCCTCAGCCTCCTGAGCAGCTGTGATTACAGGCGACAGCACCATGGCTGGCTAATTTTTGTATTTTTAGTAGAGACAGCGTTTCACCATGATGGCCAGGCTGTCTCCAACTCCTGACCTCAGGTGATCTACCTGCCTCGGCCTCCCAAAGTGCTGGGATTACAGGTATGAGCCACCGTGGCCAGCCTCTTATTTTAATTACATAAAATTAAGATATGAACAATTATATGTAATGGGACACCAGTGGCTGGTGTGAAAGGGGAATGGAGGTAGGAAAGGAGGACTCTGCTTGTGTTTTCTTCATTCTGATGTTAGAATCATGGTTAATGCAGTAATTTCCTTATAATATTCCCACTCTAGAAACGTGCTTACAAGAGCTATGTTCGAGCCCTCCCTCTACTGAAGAAAATGGGGATCAATTCCATTCTCCTCCGAAAAAGCATTGGTGCCCTTGAGGTGGCCTGTGGCATCGTCATGACCCTTGTGCCCGGGCGTCCCAAAGATGTGGCCAACTTCTTCCTACTCTTGCTGGTGTTGGCTGTGCTCTTCTTCCACCAGCTGGTCGGTGATCCTCTCAAACGCTACGCCCATGCTCTGGTATTTGGAATCCTGCTCACCTGCCGCCTGCTGATTGCCCGCAAGCCTGAAGACAGGTCTTCTGAGAAGAAGCCCTTGCCAGGGAATGCTGAGGAGCAACCCTCCTTATATGAGAAGGCCCCTCAGGGCAAAGTGAAGGTGTCATAGGAAAGTGGAAGTGCAAAGAGTGGACCTTCCAGGCAGTTGCGTCTACGACACCAGGAAGATGTCAGTGTGTGTTTCTCATTCGATTTATTTATCTTGGGGAAGGAGAAAAATGTAAACTGCAAGTTAATGACCCTATTGGCTTGTGTACATCTATATGCTAAAATGACTTCCCCACTTGACATTTGTGCACCACCTGTAATCACTCTGGGGCAACTCTCACATCTTGCTGCATGTACATGTATACGGCTACTATTGAAGTGTAATTGTGAGATGGACTCCAGCAAGCATGTGATTGTGAGATTGTGTGTGGGAAAATGTATTTAACTACTCTGTGTGTGTACACATGCACAAACGCATGTGCAGAGCAGGCTCTGATCTTGAACTAATCCTGCACAGGCATCCTTCCCTTTATAGATTGATTCCAGCAAAGGCAGAATCAAACAAATTTCCGATAAAGAGAATCCTGATTTAAAACAAGTCATGTATTCCCATGGCCGGGAATCTCTCCACAGATGCTGAAAACTTAAAACTCACTACTTTAGGCTGGGCGCGGTGGCTCAAGCCTGTAATCCCAGCACTGTGGGAGGCTGAGGCGGGTGGATCACGAGGTCAAGAGATCGAGACCATCCTGGTCAACATGGTGAAACCCCGTCTCTACTAAAAATACAAAAAATTAGCTGGGCATGGTGGTGCGTGCCTGTAATCCCAGCTACTCAGGAGGCTGGGGCAGGAGAATTGCCTGAACCCGGGAGGCGGAGGTTGCGGTGAGCCGAGATCGCGCCATTGCACTCCAGCCTGGGTAACAAGAGCGAAACTCCGTCTCAAAAAAAAAAAAAAAAAAAAAAAAAACTCACTACTTTAGAGAAAAAAAAATTCAATTTGAAACACCGAGTTATGCATAAAATTAATTAGGCTCTATTCCAACAGTTGTTTAAAATTTAAATAGTCCATATTGAGTTTAATTAAAACAAGGGATGCATGCAGTTAAATTGATAGTTTAATTCTTCAAGTGATAATACAGGAAGTTTCACCTTGCCTTTGTCTGAGCCACACCTACTAAACCCCTTTACTCACAGTTTGAAACTGAAGCAGTAAACTTGTTTCCTGACATCTTCTTCAGATTGTCTTAAGCCCAAAGTTGCCTCACTTCCACTATTCTCAGCAGCCAACCAGGATTTGGCAGCTGCTCCACTGCTAGGGTCGAGGAAATAGGATCAGTCTTGTTAGAAGTCTGTGAGTCTCAAACTTTACCTGTTCTTTGCAATCATCCAAAATTTGACAAAGAAGCTATATTCAGTGTTTCCTTGCCAAACAAATTTACTACTCTTATTGAATCTTCACTGAGGTTTGCTAGTGTAAGCAGAGTTCCAAGTCACCCCTAGAGTTGTCTCTACACTTCTTTATCATTCCAGTGGGTGGAGTTTAGCTGGGGGAAGGACATTTCATAAGGGTTAGTTGGATTGAGCAGTATAAACATTTGCTTTTTTCATTACGTACTGTTGTTTTTCCTTGTTAGATGTGCTTTGGTGGTTTAATATTATTGTGCCAGGGATGGGGAAATGGGTGGGGGGTGTGTGTGGGAAGAGTACTTATTACTGTATTTTCTTCAGTGTCATTGTTCTTGGTAATTGATACCTCTCTGTTTTATTTCTCTCATTCTTTCAAAATAAAACTTTTTGAAATTTGGAGGAAACTGTCTGGACAAGTACTGAAAATCTGGAAAGTAAGGATCATATCAAAGGATTCAGCCTCTCTTTTTCTGAGTCTGGATGAAGGAAGAGAGGAAAGAGAAGAGTATAATCACTTAATATGCTAATGAAGTTGCCAACTTTCTGATTTCTTTTTTTTTTCTTTCTTTTTTTTTTTTTTTTGAGACATGGTCTTGCTCTGTTGCCCAGGCTGTAGTGCAGTGGTGTGATCACAGCTCACTGCATCAGTCTGCCAGGTTCAAGTGTTCCTCCCACCTCAACCTCCTGAATAGCTGGGACTATGGCATATGCCACCATGTCCGGCTAATTTTGTATTTTTTGTAGAGACGGGGTTTTGCAATAGTGCCTAGTCTGGCCTCAGACCCCTGGGCCCAAGCAATCTGTTTGCCCCGGCATCTCAAAGTGCTGGGATTACAGGTGGGAGCCATCTCACCTGGCCTAACTTTCCAATTTCATTTACGTTCCCCCACACTTTTGTGATGTTAGCACACAAGACAGAAAGCCACATAATTAGGATCCCAATAAAATTTCCAGGTTTTGGGAGTTTTGCTTTATTAGGTGATGCCAAGGGAAGTTAAAAAAATGATTTCAGAGAAAATTGAAGATATATTAAAGGTGAATCACTAGCTATCACTACATATATATATATATGTCCACAAATTAGTACAAGTTGCACTGCCTCAGACTTGTCACATTTGGCAAGATGTTTCACCACTCTAGTTTCATCATCTACAAAAAGAAGGGTGTTGAAGCTTTAAATTCCCTTCTAATTTACATTTCTTTGAGCCTATGAAACATGATTAAAAGCATGAAAAATAATTCAAGAAATTTTCTTTTTTTTCAAGAAATTTTCAATTTTATTAAAGAAGAGCATTTATCAGAAAAAATGGAAGAGTCTCAGTTGTCATGCATGATTAAATAAGAGTTTGTGAAACTACTCTGAAAACCATATATGATGTGGTAAATAATTATTTTTGCTGTGTGCTTTCCCAAATACATAAACTTAATTTTTGATAATTCATCTCTAAGACTGCAGTTCCCCCCAACTAGTTTACCTGAAGTTTATAGGTATGTTTTGGTCTCAACAACTCAGTGAGTCATTAAATTTATATCTTTTCTCTCTTATTCCTACTCTAATAAGAGATTAAATTAGAGACTAAGCTGAGAGCTCAGACTAAACCCTTGTTGCTGTTTTAAAGCCAGTTTCTTTAAGGTCAATTAACTTCTCATGGTTAGGAATAGTTACATGTGGACAGCCAGTTTCTAGAAAACCTTGGAGAATATCTCTACTGATTCTCGGTAAAAGGAGGGCAGATCCAGTTTTTCTTTCCTCCCACGCCCTAGGTTCACATGGGGAAAGCGACAGGCTCTTTGACTTAAGTCTCAGCCAGGGAGAAGCCACCTTTATTGTGAAGTTTGCGGTTTCACATTTTCCTACAAGGTCCCGACATCTGGGGTCAGCGTAGGCAAAATAATCATTATAACTGAGCATGCTAAATTCAAGAATGGAGACCTGAATTGTCCCATCACACGCATAATGACAAATGCGAACATTCCTAGCCCAGTGGGAACGCCAGCCAATCAGTTCACTCCAGCAGCAACGGCCCACTCGCTGCGAGCCGCCTAGGCCCCAGGTGGGTGGGGCAATCCGCTCTCCGTAATTGGGTATACGTCAGCGTCGGCGCGCGCGCCACCTCCCGCCACAGAGCCACCTCCCGCCACCTCTAGCCAGTCAGGCTTCAGCTGAGTGCGTAGCTCCGCCCAGCCGCCGCTTGGGTCTGCGAGGAAGCGCATGCGTGCGGGTGGAGTCCGCTTTGAATTCCGGAGGCGGCATTCGGTCGTCAGAGGCCTGTGCGGGTATTTGTCCAGTGTGTCAGGTGAGAAGGTACTTCTAAACACCGCGCGAAATAGGGGCGAAGATAATTTTTTAATTTTTGAGGGTGGGACTATCCTGCAAGATGTGGCTGTGGTCCCGTTTTCCGTAGCCAATTTCGCTTCCAGCTGGGGCAGGGTGTGAAAGGGATCCTTGGGAAGCGCTGGGATGGTTCAACTGGGTGGGGTCAGAAACCGCTCCCCCGCCCTTCTTTCCTGGGACCCTAGGAAACGACTTGGCACCTATAATCTCCCACTGGGTTGGACATACATAGTCCTCTTCTGATCTGGCCTCATCTGTTCCAGGGAGGTGGGATTGAGTAGGTGTCATTCCGACCATTCCTTTCGTTTTTCGTTTGAAGCCAAAAACTTAGAACTCATTCTTGGTTACTCTTCCCTTTGCCCTACATCCAATTCTTTTATCACGGCCCGCTCTGTCTACTTCCAAAACATAGCACTAATCAAATCATTTTCCACCTCTACACCCTAGGCCTAGTGCAGGCTACATTCATCCCTTTACTGGACTTCTCCAACAGTCTTTTATTTGGTTTATTGCCGCTACTTGACCTCTAACATCCTCGTCTCTGCACTGCAGCTAAAATGATCTTCAAACACAAATCAGATGGTATTGCTCCCTTCTCCAACCTTTCCCCCTTCCCCTATGTTTTCCCAAGACATTTAAAATCCAAACTCCTTACTCTGGCCTGCAAATCCCAGTGTGATCTATCGAGTCCCTGGCTACGTTCTGACTTCATCACTTATTATCTTTTACCTCTTTCATTCCACTCCCTCCAGACTGATGTTGCTACTCGTTCTTTTTCGATTTCTTTCCTTCCTTCCTTCCTTCCTTCCTTCCTTCCTTCCTTCCTTCCTTCTTTCCTTCCTTCCTTCCTCTTTCTTTCTCTTTCTTTCTTTCTTTCTTTCTCTCTCTCTTTCCTTTTCTTCTTTCTTTCTTTCCTTCTTCCTTCCTTCCCTTCTTTTTGTTTTCTTTCCAGAGTCGGGTTGGGTGTGGTTGCTCACGACTGTAATCCCAACACTTTGGGAGGAAGCTGAGGCAGGTATGGATCACTTGAGGTCAGGAATTCGAGACCAACCTGGCCAACCTGGGGCAACCCCTTCTCTACTAAAATACTACAGTTAGCTGGGCGTGGTGGCATGCGTCTTCTTCTTCAGTCTAACGCTCTCCCAACTGAGCTATTTCGGCCACCGGCATGTGCCTATAATTCTGGCCACTGGAGAGACTGAGGCAGGAGAATCCCTTGAACCCGGGAGGTGGAGGTTGCAGTGAGCTGATCAGGCCACTGTACTCCAGCCTGGGTGAGGAATGAACTCTGTCTCAAAAAAAAAAAAAA